CCCCCTTAACCCAACCTAAGCTCCCTCCCCCGATCCTCCCAGACCCCCCGGGACCCCCGGGCCGCCCCCAGCCCCATTTTAAACCCCCCATTTCCCCCCAGGCCGGTGCAGAAGGCGGAGCTGGTGCGCCTGTCCCAGACCCTGCTCCACGTCCCCGCCCTGCACTGGGTGGTGGTCGAGGACGCCGCCGCCCCCTCTGCGCTGGTGGGGGGGGTCCTGGCGTCCTCGGGGGTCTCCTTCACTCACCTGAGCGCCGAGACCCCCCCCGATCTGCGGGGGGGCCCCGGGGCCCCGTCCTGGCTGTTCCCGAGGGGGGCGGAGCAGCGGAACCGCGCCCTGCGCTGGCTGCGGGACACGCGCGGCCGCGACGAGCCCGGCGTGGTGTACTTCGCCGACGATGACAACACCTACAGCCTCAGGCTCTTCGAGGAGGTGGGCCCTTGAAATCCCAAAAAAATCCCTGAAAAAACCGAAAATCCCCAAAAAAATCCGACCTGAAAGAGCCCAAATTCACCTGAGCCTTCCTGAGCCATCCTGAGCCATCCTGAGCCACCCTAAAGTCACCCAAATGCCCCCAAAATTATTCAAATTCCCAGCCACGCCTGCAGCCTCAGGCTCCTCGAGGAGGTGGGGCCTTGAAATCCCAAAAAAATCCCTGGAAAAATCCGAAAATCCCCAAAAAAATCCGACCTGAAAGAGCCCAAATTCACCTGAGCCATCCTGAGCCTTCCTGAGCCACCCTAAAGTCACCCAAATGCCCCCAAAATTATTCAAATTCCCAGCCACGCCTGCAGCCTCAGGCTCCTCGAGGAGGTGGGGCCTTGAAATCCCAAAAAAATCCCTGGAAAAATCCGAAAATCCCCAAAAAAATCCGACCTGAAAGAGCCCAAATTCACCTGAGCCATCCTGAGCCTTCCTGAGCCTTCCTGAGCCACCCTAAAGTCACCCAAATGCCCCCAAAGTTATTCAAATTCCCAGCCACGCCTGCAGCCTCAGGCTCCTCGAGGAGGTGGGGCCTTGAAATCCCAAAAAAATCCCTGAAAAAACCGAAAATCCCAAAAAAAATCCGACCTGGAAAAGGTCAGATTCACCTGAGCATATGGGTGACAGCCTGAGCCATCCTAAACTCACCCAAATCCTCCCA